CGCTCATCCGCTTTGGCCGCTTCCACTACGTGTCCGATGTACGATGTGGGGTGGCCGGGTGGTGCTCGCACGGGTGATTTAAGGTAAAAAGGAAGGTGAACAGATCTCCGAGGGACACTGACCTGGAATTGTCCCGGTATAATACGAGAAGTAGCAGTACTGCGTTACGGTTACCTTACCTTACACTTGTATCTGGGCCGATTCCAGTGAAACTTGCTACTCTTGAACATTGGCCCAATGTTCAAGAAGACTGTTGTAGCCAACAAGGGGGGACTTAATTTTTCAAAATATTTACCTTGATAGTTCGATATCTGTGGATGTAAGTATTCATTCAGATCCACAGATATCGAACTAGTAAGGTAAAGATTTTGAAAAATTAAGTCCCCCCCTTGTTGGCTACAACAGTTTTCTTCTTTGTTTCTTTAAGTTTGTTGGGTTTGGCAGAACTCCGTTGCCTTGGCTTGAGGATGCACGCACATCTCAGCGGCATTCATTTCAACTTTTTATTGTCTTTTTAGGTTTGGAACAATCAGTTTCGTTTGTGTTATAAGCCACATACTGTCGTATAATCTTGGTTTTGGTTTGATTAAAGCTAGAATTTTGATTTTGTTCAGAAATATTTGCAACTGACTCTCATCAAGGGTAACGCTTGGTCCAAATGAGTTTATGTCCTCTTATTATGTTCAATTATAAGATTGAAAGTCAATTTACCTCCATGATTGTGATATTATAATAACAGTATAAACATTCTTTACCTTGTACTGTAGAATTTTATATGTTGCTATTTCTTAATTTATTATATATATTGTGTGTTCATTAGTCACTCAAAATGCTTTACAATACATATCAAATTAACTATCAGATATCATTATTATTTTATTTTGTCAATTTGAATATGGAGAATTTTAGTTTGACTTTTATATTTAGATATTTTTACTATGGATTGTCAAATTCGAAATGAGGCCAACTCTGTTTTACTTGTAATTGTTTATATATGATAACCATTGTAATTTCATTCATTGTTAATTGTCATTAACAGAAATGTTACAAATTAATGACACAACTCTTTATACTCATGATGGTTTCTTATTTAGTTAATGTCACATTGAAGATGGGTGAAGTCAACCCGAAACATTTTTTTCCCCACTATCAATATTATTAAACTGAAGAAGTTCATCGCTTATTTGTTTTTTCTGGCAACGTTGGTGTTAAGATTCATCATATACCTCCGCTTCCCACTTGGATATAAATTTATATATATATATATATCTTTTTTTTCCTTTTTTTATTATTAATCCTGTTCCTTTCTGTGGCCTTTTGTAACCTATTGGATTCTGATGTTCTCTCTAAGTTTCTTTCACAAAGCCGCCAAAATTTATTAAAAATTTATTAACATCTCTGAATCGATAACAATGATAACAATAATCCATTAAAAAAAAAAAAAAAAAAAAAAATAGGAGACAAGGAAACAAAATACCAGACAAAAACAAATATTGGGAGAGGGGTTGAATGGGGGATGGGAATTGTGAAAAAGAAAACAGACAAGGATTATAAATAACATCAAAGCCCAAAAAAAGGCTAAATCTTTTCTTCAAATATATAATCTTGTATTTATTAAATATCTCACAATACAAATATCTTTAGTTTTCCACATACTGTACACTATTCAATATAAACAAGCACGTCCCTTCACTGGGCATTCACTCGCGTCTTGTCAACCTGTTTAACAGATTTCCATTATCGCACTCATAACCTTTGCTGGGATGTAAGTGTTCAAAATGTTTCTAAACTCTAATGCAGGTCTAAATGCAGGTCCAAGCTTAAGCATCTAATGACAGGACAGTGTCATATATCGTTTCTGTAAAGAATTAAACAATAATAATAATAAAAATGAAATTTTGAAGCATTTTAAGATAGTACAGAAATGGAGAGAGAGAGAGAGAATGAGATAAAGAGAAAGATATGGAAAAATAATAATTCAACTGAAACGATTTGTCACTATTTCTGTGGAACACTTACACACCGTGACCTAGAAAAAGAAATAATAATATAAAAAAGTGGATGGAAATTATGAATAGATGACCCTAAACCTGACTCTTCACTCTTTGCATATTAGTGTATTTATTGTTTTTACATTATATATTTTGTTTTATTTTATTTTTTTTTTGTTTTTATGCATGGATCCTTCTAAAGGAAAGATTTTATGGAAATATATTCATTCAAATTTTCTCCGAGTCCACAAACATTTTCCGTTGATAAATGGAGAAAACTTTTTCAATCAACTTTATTCAGTTACGGAATTCAGATGGGAAAAAAACGCACTGATTGGTCTGTACTAAGAACGTCTTAAGCACCTCAGAAGCTGGATATGATGGTACATTTAGGCTTGTGTGTGTTTTTCTTTTTCTTTATATATTCCAGTTTTGTTTCTATTAACAATTTTAACTGATCATATTTAAAGGATATAAATTTATTCAAAGTTCTTTTCTTATAAAGAGAAACATCAGAAAATAACAATGTAATACATAGATTATTATGTAAAATGCAATGACCTCAAAAGCTTAAGAACACTACAATAAATATTGTAAAAAAAAAAAAAAAAAAAAAAAAAGAATAAAAAATAAATGAAATAGTAAAAAGAGATGAGGAGATAAAGAGGAAGGAGGAGAAAGAAAAAGAGAGAAAAAAGCCAAATGAAAATCCAGGATTTATCATAAGTTGGCAGCAGGGAATGATTGAAGGGTCATCACATAGCACTTTTGGGAAGGAAGAAAACTTTCCAAAATGTCAGTGACTTGATCCGAGCGACTGACAAGATTTGCCACGAGCTGACGATCTGCAATGCGCGCGTCTCCTCCTCACACTTGCGAGCCCTCCCTTTAAAATGGAAGAATTTGTGCCTCCAGATGATCCTGCTCGAAGATTGAGAGAGCAAAATGCAATTAGGATTAAATATGCCTTTTNTCTCTTCTCTCTCTCTCTCTCTCTCTCTCTCTCTCTCTCTCTCTTTCTCTCTTCTCTTCTCTCTCTTTTCTCTCTTCTCTCTTTCTTTCTCTCTCTCTCTCTCTTTCTCTCTCTCTCTCTTTCTCTCTCTCTCTTTCTCTTCTCTCTTTCTCTTCTCTTTCTCTCTCTCTCTTCTTTCTCTCTCTCCTCTTTTTCTCTCTCTCTCTTTCTCTTCTCTCTCTTTCTCTCTCTCTCTTTCTCTCTCTCTCTTTCTCTCTCTCTCTTTCTCTCTCTCTCTTTCTCTCTCTCTCTTTATCTCTCTCTCTTTATCTCTCTCTCTTTATCTCTCTCTCTTTATCTCTCTCTCTTTATCTCTCTCTTTATCTCTCTCTCTTATCTCTCTCTCTTTATCTCTCTCTCTTTATCTCTCTCTCTTTATCTCTCTCTCTTCTCTCTCTCTTCTTTCTCTCTCTCTCTTTCTCTCTCTCTCTCTCTCTCTCTCTCTCTCTCTCTCTCTCTCTCTCTCCTCTCTTCTCTCTCTCTCTCTCTCTCTCTCTCTCCTCTCTCTCTCTTCTTCTCTCTCTCTCTCTCTCTTCTCTCTCTCTCTCTCTCCCTCCCCGTATATATTTCAGTCATTATTGCATTTCTTCCGTACTTTCCCTCCTCCTCATATTCGAACCATCCTATGCCCTGGTTGTTTGAACGTGGGCTTCCTTTCAGGGCAAGAATGGCATGATCTCTCCGAGCCAGGGCTGGCGAGGCGTCACCGCTTTTGTTGCTGGCTGTATGTATTACCCTATTTAAGGAAATATGAATGAATATTACTGGTCTGGTATAAAAGCCTTTATATTCTTTTCACTTTTCCCTTAGCCAAGAAGATGAAAATGACGTAAGCTAGACCATCTGATTATGGCCACACAAGGCATTATTGGAAGCGATCAATATTTGCAATTATTTCAAGTCCTGTGCGTGGAGCACAGTGGGGCGTAAAACAACCTGTGTACTTGCCTTGTGTACCGAAAGTGTACGGGTTAAAGTGTCATACACTGAACAAACCAGCTGTCACACATTTCATGATATTTTCTTTACAAGTTACTCGATTGACTTCCACATTCCTCTCATGCCATATCATTATTGTGAGTTATAATTCATATAGTGGTGATTATGACATTATATTGGTAAATTATAGGACGATAATGATAAGAATAATGAAGGATAATAACAATAGCAATGACAGTGATGATAATATTTGCAATAAAATTAGTACATTCATATTGTCATTCATCAATTACGTCAACTATTCCTGCTATATATCATTATCTCTTTATTCTTATTATTATTACTTCCACCAAGGAGGTCATGTTTTAGTAGCAATGGTTAGTTAGCAGGATAAAAAAATATGAACAGATTTTTATGATATTTTTACCAGAGGTGTGTCTTAGCCCAACTATATAGTTTTTATGGATATATAGATTTTTTTACATGATTCATTAGCACTGTCAGATAGGGAAACAAGGATGTCACCAGTGCACTTTCGAAAGAGTTGATTCTATTGCAATTCTTCAAGTGTGAATATTTTTATTACATCAGTAACTCTATTGCCTTGACTGAGGTATGCACTCTGCAAGTGCTTTTCATTAACATTATTATTGTCATTATTGGTACTCGCTATTTTTTTCAATATTATCATTATTTTTTATTATTGTCATTTCATTATCATTATTACTATGTATCATTAATATAATCTCTATGGAAACTTTTAATGACTAAAAATAAGTCATACATTGTATAATCTTACATACTATTACATGCTAGATACAAAAAATATCATTTAAATACTTCTTAAATTAGACCAAGGCCGTGCTTCAAATTACCATGTTTATCCCTTCATGAGAAACTTAAAACAGGTATATGTAGAGTTGCCTTAGTAAAAATTATTTTCATTGGTTCAAGAGACCTATTGTTATGTATGCATGGGAGACAGAGGGATACCATCTCAATTGTTTTATTACCAAAGATTCAAATGAAAACGAGACTGGGTAATGAAAAAATAAACATCATATAATAGAATAACTGCTTTAATGTTTACAATGGTCTAACCTGTTCGAGCAAACTTTTAGCCCAAAGGTTAGTGTAGCAATAAACAACAGATGTTATATAAGACATTGGCACTCATTTCCTCTGTATATTGAATTATTGAACAGCCTGTGTATAAGAAATATATGTTATCTTGTTGATCATATATGTAAAAAATATTTCTGAAAATGGCTTTAGAATTACAAAATAGTCATAACATTTAAAAATGACTTGTCTCTTCTGACTGAATATTGAGCACCTTTCATGCTTGTTTCTGTTTACTCCAAAAACTATATACACATAATGAAAGCCATTGTGTATCTGTCTCAAGAATTGGTGGACACAATGCAACACTTGTTCCAGTGAACCTTTACATCTTAGTCATACAACAAGTATTACAACAAAATATGCAATAAGTTTTCTGAATACTGATAAAAAATAATATATATCAACAATCCATAAACCAAGTGCAACTACATGCTCAACCTCTTCCTATGAAAACTATGGTTAAAATAATCCAACTAAACGAAAATAAGAAACACTGCTCAAATCAGCACCTTTTTATGATCATACTCAATGCTTATTATTGCAAAGGACAAGGTTGTTTTACTTTAATACATTAAAATCAACTCTATTCGCAAAAAAAGATACATATATACAGAAACACTGGGTAATACAATTCAAAATTAAATAAATCAGTTACAGATACCAATCTCTTCCAGGCTCAATGGTTGACTGCACAAGGCAACAGACATTTGTCTAAAACTGACCCTCTTGGACAATTTCAGTTTTCAAATTTTCTTCATGGGAAATTGCCCCAAAAGGAATACTTAAGAAAAGACAGCGCCAAAACAAACAGGGCTGCCCTTCTTTGAATGCGTACTGTTTGAGGAGACAAATTGCTAGATATGGTCACTGGCTTACCAAGAACTGTTATTGATACATGTATAACCGTACTTCATTGTATGGATTATATGTACAAATATTATCAATTCAGCCTCATAATTAATTTTCTGAAGGGTCAATTGAGCACCCTTACAGATGAGCCCTGAATTTTATCAATTTGTTTATGAAAAAAAATCAACAATCGTAGTTATGACTGCCATTTGCAAGTGATCCAAAAATTGTTAAATTTTTGCATGAAATGGTAGTAATAACAGACAAAAGGAGAGGAAAATAATAACAATAACAATAGAAAAGAAATGTGGACATTTTTATATATAATTAGGAAACAAAATTAAATAGTGTTTTAGGTACAAATTAAAAATACAAATCAGAAAAAAACTATCCATGATGCAGAACATTTAGGAAAGAGATGATAGTCATAGGCTTGAGGTTCAAGCAAACCTATTACTTAAAATAAAAAAATAAATACAAAAATTCAAATTTACCTATATGAAAACACTGTATATTTAGATATTAAATTTAGACACATTGCTACTCCTAGGCTTAAATATTATTAATGAACATCCATTTAAACCCCTTTCCTTATTAGAATATTAGAATTGAATTATGCTATTTGTTATTACTGTTCAACATACGAAATATAAACAAAGTCTGTAGTACATTCACATCAAGCTTTTCAGAATGTCAAAATATCTAAATGTGAGGTAGCAATGAGATACATAACTACAAAGTTTTGATATTCTGTTCTGTACTTTTCACATGAATGCAGTAAGAAAACAATATTTATTTCAGTCAGTCAGGAATGTGTGTGTTCCATTTTTTCTCTTTTCCCAGTAACACCATAGAAAAATAAATAGGCTACCACTCCACTGATCAGGAAAACATTTTGTACATTGCCAGACAGGTTGGGGCATTAAGTCTCTCCACAGGTAATATTTACAGTCTGCCCAATATGGAAAAAATCTCCAGCATTTTTTCATTCCAACCATACTCTCTCTTTCGGTATAAGAAAGGAAAATAGATAGATCAAAAAGATTTACGAGATTCTAGTAATATCCACCGCTTTGTAAGTCAGAAGAATCATCTCTCATGCTACCAGTTTTGCAACAATCCATTTAAACACATGTCCTCTATAGAATATAAAACATTAAATAACCCTGCCATAAAATACTGTAAGTCACACATGCATTTATAAACAAAGATTAGTTCTATCGAAAACATGCTTCTAACCCTATCAAATCTGCAAACCAACCACAAGGGGCAACAGGAACCAGCTTGGTAAATAGAATATCAAGAATAAATAAATCACATTGCT